CAGGAATCTGAATAAAACTCTTGTCCCTGCGATCGTGTCTCCCTCTTTAAGTGCGGTAGATGTCGTGCAAATCAATTCCCAATATCAACTTATTCACGCACAAGTTACCGTACCTGAGCTCATCTTGTTGTGGAGCTGACGCTGGGCATCGTTGGCAATGTCGGTCGAGCTGTCAGGCCATCACAGCTCAATGGAGGTGTTATAGGGGGGGGGGGGAGCCACTGAGTCTAATTCTCTTTTATCTGATCAAACATTCGACATACACATCCAGTGTGGACCATGAGAAGTGACGTACCTCTTCACTTGACAGTGGTTCAAACCAGGACAACAGTTCGATCCACCATGTGCTCCACAGCAAGATGAGAGCTGTCATGGTGAGCTGTGCGTGAGAGTAGACTTGCGCTGAATCTGCCCCACTCTCTCTTTCTTTCCGACATGAGCCTGGTGTGCATATCTGTGGCAGCTAAAGTTGAAGAGAAATGTGTAGACTGACTAGTAGCCAGCAAGGACTTGAACTGATCGAGATGGAAAGGCATAAAAATATAACCTAGAGTGAACACCCCGCTGGTGGTCACGAAATGACAAACTGCTGCCGCGAGGGATTTAATCAAAGTGGATGAACGGTTCTGCACTGCATTAAAAATGACTCTACATGACGGTTCGACCGTCGATTCCAGCGATGTCCATCGTTCGCTCCATAACAAGGTGGGTCAGGTGGGGTGGATTGCACATAATTTAGTTTCTAGTGATAGTAGACTTGCTCAGCATCTACCGCACCCTCTCATCCTCCCCCACCTGGGCACCCGGTGTCAAGGCAGAGTCAAGAAGACCGGAGGCGGGGGAGGGCGCACGTGGATGTCACTGTCGAGCCCGCACCTTGGCGTTCCACTCCACACCCCCAGTCCACAACAAACGTTTGCTCAGGACTTTAACCAACAGCAACAACGAATGACACAAGTTACTAGGCAACTGTGAACACGGTCTGTATGTCCGGCGGGAGGGCAAGCGCCCTGGTCCATAACAAACACTCGACCAGGAATTCTGACCACCACCACCACCAGCAACAACAGCAACAACAGAAAAGACGTGGATCAGTGGGCAGTCTCGCATGCGACCGTATACCCAACAGGAGCGCAAGCGCATCTACAGTGAGTGACCTATTTCATGAAATGTTGGCTGAAATTCTGAAATGCGTTTTCGATTAGGAAGGATTACTTGGTCGAAGTTGCAATACTGACTATCTTGCGGCATACCCTTATAACATTTCGGACTCGGCAGGATGTCGGCTTTTAAACGCACTTCTTTTCAATCTCCTGTAGAAAGCGTACTTGGTAGAAAATGACTACTTAAGTAGCATGCATTTTTCCCATTGATTTTCGATGGTCTTGCAAATTCAAAGATATTTTATAGAAACCACAAACAAAAATATGTTTTATTTAGGTCAATCAATAGAGAATCACGTCTTCTTTATATTTTATACTTTAGGAAGAAGTTTAATTAGGTTTTAAAAAATTTTCTAATTATGAGACTTTTTAAGACCGCGAAATGTCAATTCACATAGCATCGTACCTGGACGTTTACCACTGCTTCTCATGAAATGAACAACATGATCCGCACCCATTGCAAAATTTTATGGACTCCGTATGATATCTCTTTAATGGCATAGAAAAATATGTGATTTTCTTTACGCGGAACGCATACACCATGCAGACTGAAATAACTAAGCGCTAATGCAACGAATGATCAGGCTCCAAATTTTTTGGCAATTAGAAAACTTTTTTAAAACTTAATTATACTCCTTTCTTAAGTATAAAATACAAAGAAGACGTGATTCTCTATTGAATGACTAAAAGAAAGCATATTTTTATTTATGGGTTCTATAAAATATATTTGAATTTGCAAGACCATCGAAAATCAATGAGAAAAATGCATGCTAATTAAGTAGTCATTTTCTACCAAGTACGCTTTCTATAGGAGATTGAAAAGAAGTGCGTTTAAAAGCCGACATTCTGCCGAGTCCGAAATGCTATAAGAGTATGCCGCAAGATAGTCAGTATTACAACCGCGACCAAGTAATCCTTCCTAATCGAAAACGCATTACAGAATTTCAGCCAACATTTCATGAGTTAGGTAACTCACTGTACCTCCAGGCACCGGAGAACTGCCAGCGCACACCAGGCCGCGAGAGCCCAGAGGGGTGAAACACAGTCCTGCATCAGCCTTCAAAGGCTGGGTAACCAATCAGTCGCCGAATGAGAGTCACTACCCACAGAATGCACACCCACTCCTCGCATGAGTGAGAGTGGCGAAGGTCACTTTAAGATGGAGTCGTGGCAGCCGGACTCTCAACCCACCAGTCCACCACCTCACACACAAAGATAATGTACACCCCGTGTCCCGCAGCATACAGACAGACTCGAGCTATCAGATCGACGACGGGCACCTCCTCCAATCAAGTTTGATTAGTTCCTCCCTACGCACAAGTGACTGTCTCTGCAGATCGATTTTTTATTGCTACCTAGTTACACATGTTCTTTTAAAAAACCAGTTTAGAACGAAAGCCGAATCGTGTTGCCACTGTAAATGGACAATTTCGGATAGAGTAATGTGATGGCGGTGTTACGCCTAATAGATGAATGAACTGATTTATGACCGCATTTGTTTAAACGCACAGTCCCGCTTGACATTTTCTGATAGGTTGTTCATATTTTTGTAACAAGATTGAGATTTCTGCGACTAACAAGTGAATAATCAAATTTGGCATGTAACTGTTTCAAATGAAAAAAAAACAGTCAGGTCGAAACGAACATTTAAAACGAGAACACTGAAACATGTGTATGCGACAATTCTCCAGGTCTCCTGATCTTGGGCGTGTGACGCCAGGTGACACTAGTTTACTAAAATCTCCTTTAAGCGAATTTTTTCGTCTAATGTCTAGCTGAAACTGAGTTTTGCGTATGCAAATGCAGTGATAGATGAGGCTGAGACGACAGGTATACGCAAATTAGTCTGGACAAGTAATCCAAAATTTGTCACACGTCGAATGTAAAAATCCGACTTTAACCGCCAGCTGGCTGACAATGGGTATAACCAGCCGTTTTTTGCCAACGTGACCGGACTACAAATTGCAAAAACCTACCACCTTGAAGAAGTACGGTTACTTCTCGGACAAAGAAGGTCGTCCCCGGGAATTTTCTCAGTGCACCATCGTGTCTCCATTAGCATACTGAGGTTAATATTAAAAGAAAAAGGCAGAAAGCTTTCAGGCTTAGTACGACACTCGTGACACCCTTAATTTAACGATATACCCGAATAAGGGACCAGTCTCTACATAGCGTCAGTGACGAACAAGCAAGTGAGGAAGAGAAACACGACCGCAGTTTCCATGTTTTTGGTTTTGTGCCATTTACGCTGCTGGTGTTAAAAGACGTGGAGTTGTGTAGCGACTTGAGAACTGAAAGAATTAGGTAAATTTTTAAATAAAGTAAATAAAGGCAGCGACATGGCCGTTTTTGGCCTGTGACACGAAAGGAGAGAAAGGGATGCGGACAAACAACTAGCTGAAATCGCACATTATCGGGCTGGAAGATGCGTCAACAGCAACAAAGCCGTGTGGCGGATTCTTTCTTTTTCCATCCATGAGCGAAGTCAAGGGGTTGCCCACTTGCAGTACACATAGTGAATGGGCAATGTGTTTACCATACAGCTGCAAATGTGCAACAGGTTGCATTAGATCCACTGGCCACAGCATTAACTGCGTTCTTCCCGTTAAGCCAAACTGACGCGTTTGCGAACTGTCAATAACAAGGTTGAGGGGTTCTTCTTCTGAGTTGCGCCAGGAGGGACTGGGAAAACGTTCCTAATAAGACTGATTATGACAGCAATATGATCCAAAAATGACATAGTCTTAGCACTTGTATTCTCCGGAATAGCTACATCCCTGCTACCCGGCGGAAGGATTGCTCATTCTGCTTTGAAATTGCCGTTGAACGTGTAATTCTTTGTGTTTCCATTGGCATACTGCGGTTAATATTAAAGGAAAAAGGCAGCAAGCTTGCAGGCTCAGTACGACACATGTGGCACCTTTAATTTAACAATATACCAGAATAAGGGAGAAGATTGTATGGCGGGGAGGACCAGTTTTCTCTCGAGCTACTTGACTAGCCCCTACATGGCGTCAGTGACGAACAAGCAACCAGGGAAGAGAAAAACGACCGCAGTTTCCATGTTTTTGGTTTCGTGTCATTTACGCTGCTGGTGTTAACAGTCGTGGATAACTGAAAGGTGAATAAGCCACAACATCAACAGGGCGAGGCGAATGAGAAACTGTCCGAAACCTCAATACAAATGTAGCTCAGGCATTAAGTCCACCTGCTCCTATCTTTCATCTCCTTTCGAGGCCGAGTCAAACGACGTATATACAGTAGGTGGGCTAACTCATGAAATGTCGACCACAATTTCGAAAAGCGTTCTCGTTTCGCAAAGATTAATTAAGTAGAATTGTAAAAAAATCATCATACAGCATAAGTCTATGATGATCCAATTACCTCACGGTGTCGGCTTTCGAATGAACTTATTTCCGACTACACGCGAGGACCATACTCTGCAAAAAACGACTACTTAAGTAGCATGCAATTGTCTCATCGATTTTCGATGCCCTTGAAAATTCAACTATATTTCATGGAAGACATGCATAAAAATATTCATGCTTTTATTTATTCGGTAGAAAATCACGTCTTCTTCCAATTTTGTAATCGAAAGAAGAGTATAATTCGAAAGCCTTCGATACGGTGATTCGCGAGGGGCTGTAAAAAGTTATGCAGAAATTCTTCCCTCCTGAACGCCCAAAATGCATCGGCTCCACGACCGGGTGACGGCGTGCATCATGGACAGCGGCGTAATCTCCGAGGCATTCGCAGTGACTAATGGATTGAAGCTGAGTACTCGCTCCCACCCTCTTCAGTCGCCGCTGTTCGCTGTTATGCTGTTGGACGCCCAACATGATGAGTGCCCTTGGATACCCATCGCTTACAAAACTAACGGGCATCTTCTCCACAGCAGGCCCCAACGCGGCCATGCAAAGGAGCATGGACCTCTACACTGCCGGGTGCGTCAGCTTCTGCCTAACGACCAACGCGGACGTAACGGTGGTCATGCAACTACCGTCACCCCGCAGGGAATAGAGCACCCCTCGAATCCTCGTCAAGCGCCGCCAGCCCAAAGACGTGGACAACTTAACTTTTCTAGTAAGCACAGTCTCTTGCAGCACAAAAATCGACTAAGAGGTTGCTAGTCGACTCTCCAAATCCAGCCAGGCCTTTGGTGGACAGTGAGCCTCCGCGTGGACTCGCCGCGGTCTTCAACTGAACACCAACAGGAAAGTATGCGAGGCCATCTTATTGAAGGCACTGCTCTGCGGAGCGAAGATCTGGAAGGTTCACTCAAATCAAGCTAGGATGCTGAACCACTTTCATGTCAGCTGACCCTGCAAAATATTGAAGTTGCGATGCAGGACATTATCCCGAACCGGAATCCCTAGCATCCCCGCCGTGTTGAGGAAACTGCGAGTGCGATCGAGCGGCCACGGTGTGAGGATGGACGACACTCGTCTACCAAAAGAACTCTTCTATGGAGGCGTCGTTACGGGTACTGGTCGACATGAAGGTCAAAACCACCGCTAGAAGGACACTCCTTAGAACTCTCTGAAACAACTGCGCACAAACCCGGAGACCTGGGGTGGCCGCACCTAGGACAGGCCGGTTTCGAGAAGAGTGGTGGAGGACGGTGCAGCCATATATAAAGCTTGCCGGGTCGCAGCTGCCAAAGCCAAGAAAGGACGTCGACATTCTTAGACGCTCCTGACCCGCAACATCACTGAGCCCCACCCAGCATATCCGCGCTGTTAATCAACATTCCGAGCGCAGATCCGCCCCGTCGGTCATCTAGGACCGTCCCTGCCCCAGCCACCGCGCCGATCAAGACGGGGGCCACCGTCACCGCCACGGATCCAAATTCCCATATACCGCCGCCATCTATCGCCCCCCACCTCCATCGCCTCTGCACAATCACCGCGGTGACGACGAAAACAACTACTTCTACCAGCCCGCCACCCACCGAAACGCTCCTGACGCCCTGTCAATCGCCACCACCACCTCCAGCAATGTAGAATCGGTCCCTATCTGTCCTCATTGCGTTTGCACATTCACCCCGTGCGTTTGCCTAGTCCTTTACCCACAAATTCATCGCACAGGCACTGGCGAACGAATGTCTGGAAAACCAACATGTACTCACCGCATCCGCCTCAGCTGCCCTCACATTCGCCCACCGCATGCGCATTCAATGAAAACGTGCGGCAGGACCCCACCGGCTGCACCTCACCAGCACCTAAAAGACACAGGATCGCACTCAATATCTAGCAACGCCAGCACGTAATCAGCACCTCTCACGAAAGAGGGATGTATGCTTCTCGCCTCCTTCTCCAGGTGGCTCCCTTTCTGCATATGTGAATCGACCCTGATCTATCACAGTATGCTAGGAGTCGTTGTTTAGAAGGTTGCTAAATGAAGCTTCAACTAAGTCTACACAGTCAGTCCAGTTCAGTGCTTTTGTGTTGAGAGACTGAGGCTGCGCGAACTCTGACACTCGCACGTGCACGTAAGATGGCTAACGTCAACCCTCTTTCGTATGGAATCCTGGTGCTTGTGCTTGGGGGGGGGGGCAGGTCGTGTACGTTGCACGCGCAGACGAGGTCACCAGATGTCAGCCACTACGCCTATTTGTCGGCACCAGATAACTGACTCACTGGGACAGTGGCTGGGGCCTGGGAGGAGAACTGGTGAGTGAGGTCGACTACTCAGAGCATTTTCCCCATTATATACAATCTGACCGCCTTGAAGCTATCAGGGTGCGCTAAAAGTCGTGGCATGGAAGGTTGTCAACTAACGCGATAAGTCAGACATTTCAGTCAGTCCGGTTGTGAGTATGTATGTCACGGGGCCAATTGTCGGACTGAGAGTCAGGCTCTAATGGCTCCTTCTTAATGTGGCCACTATGGCGCTCAAAGCTGTGGTGGCACGCCAAGGGGCGACTTCGGCCTCGTTAACCACCTGCGGCCTCTCCCTCCTCCGGTTATTTTGAGTGGATCTTGATACCGGACACAGATGCGGTGGAGGGTACAGTGTGGTAGATAATGCGCAAGCCTACTATGACTACAAACCAATTCACGCGTAAGTGACCGTTCCTGCTCTCACCTTGCTGTGGAGCACTCGGTGGACATTGTCGGTCACGATGGCCGAATTGTCGTGTGCGTGGAAATTGGAGGTGCAAATAACTGATCATGTCTATCATTTTCCAAAGAACAGACTAGGATACGACAGCTGAAGGGTGTAGCGCTAGACTAACGACTACTTTGCGGATACGGTTTGCACGCTCTAAGGGCAAGCTTGACTACCCTTCTAAGAATAAATTCGTTTAAAATATCCCCTGCGATGCATGTGATGCCGTCTATTGTGACCAAACGGGAAAATTGGCCTGTGCACGCATTCACGAGCTTCAGTTGGCAGTCAGAAGGCGAAATCATCTGTATCAAGTGGACACGTATACCCTAAATACTGGGCACACCTTCGCCTCGGGAAAAAATCAGCATAGCCGCCAGCTGCCACTCCAAAAATTTCAAGAGTTTTGCGAAGTCAGGCAGTCAGATGAGTCATGCACCAAAAGGCATATTTTGATGGATGCTGTGTGTAAAAATCTCGAGGAAAATGGAAGGAAATATAACCGATCGATGCAGGATGCCGCACAGCGCGCCTGCCCACTGGCCCAAACACTGAACAAATATCGATGCTTTAAGCATGTTTGAAATGCTATCCGTTTTTTTTTGCATATTTGCTTGACGTCTGATGACGACCTGGGGAACAAGTGGGGAGGATTTATCTAGTGAAGCTTTCTGATGTTCCCAGCGAACGTACAGTAGGTGGGCTAACTCATGAAATTTCAACCGAAATCCCGAAATGCGTCCTCGTTTCGAAAAGATTAATTGAGTAGGGTTGTAAAACTAGTCAGCCTGCAACCTAATTCTATAATATTTCAGTTACCCCAGGATGCCGGCTTTCGAATGAAATTCCTTCCGACTGCATGCAAAACTACACTGTAAAAAATGGCTAGTTGTGTATTATGCATTATTCTCATTGCTTTTTGATGTCCCTAAAAGTCCAATTATATTTCATGGAAAACACGCATAAAATATTAATTCTTTGCTCACTCGGTAGAACATTACCTTCTCTTGCAGTTCTGTGCCCGATATAAGGGTATAATTCGGTCTTGAAAAAATTTCCAATTATGAGACTATTTATTACCGCTAAATAGCTGTTCATAGGACGCCATGTCCCTGCATTTACCAATTTGGCTTGTAAAGTTAACAATATGGCTCAAATCCACTGCTACATTTTATGAACCCCATATGATCTCCTCTTAAAACCATAGAGACGTGTGTGATTTTCTGTACGCGGAAAATATACGGATTGTAGATTGGAAACCCTGAATGCAAGTATAACGACAGGCCGGGTTCAGAATTATTCGGGAATTGGAAAAGTTTTGGAAAACAGAATTATGCCCTTCGTTCGAAAAAAAATTGGAAGAAGACGTGTTTTTCTACCAAAGAAGCAGAAGAATAGATATTTTTATGCATGTTTTCCATGAAATATAATTGCATTTTCAAGGGCATCGAAAATCAGTGAGAAAAGTGCATGCTAATTAAGTAGTCATTTTTGCAGAGTATAGCTTTTGTATGCGGTCAAAAAGAGAATCGTTCGAACATCGGCATCCTGGCATAACTGAAGTATTGTAGAATTATGTCGCGCCATGATTTGTTTCACAACCCTTTTTAATTAACCTTTTCGAAGCGAAAACACATTTTGGAATTTCGGTTGACATTTCATGAGTTAGCCCACCTACTGTAAGTGACTTCGAATATATAAGAAGATACGATGGGAAGTGATGACATTTTATGGGAAAAATGTAACTTTTATTGCGCAAATGTTCGAGGTTGGTTGCCCAGCTCGTCGTCAGACTATGAGTGATCAAATAAGTCAATTAACAAATTAATCGTGTCTAACAAAGGATTATACGGCTGGCCGCGCAAATTGCATCCCGTGACCTAATCGGTATTGGTTTTGGTTGTTTTAATTTGTCCTTGAGGATCTTGCATATGGCATCAAAATCGATATGCCAATTGATGCATGCCTCATCTGAGCGCATTGCTTCCAGGGATTAGCGGTCTTTTCTTTTTGGGCTGACGTCTACAATGCGAGTGTTCTCTTACGCGACTTTTTGTCCACTGTACAGCATATTCACGACCACCTGGGACTGGTGATCTCGTCTCTTCATCGTTACCAAATGTCCATGTACACGGGTTGAGACACATTTTCCAATGTGACCATTATAGATAGCATCCCAAATGGCACATGGGAGTTCGTAGACGAGATCCTTTCTACCGAGATAGTCAACCCTGTCCTTAGGGGTGTAAAAGCTGTTCGCGCAAGGCAGTTGGCGCTTGGTTTGCTTCGTGTATATAATGTCCTTTTTGTTGCCCTTTGACTAGTTCATATACATCTTTTCACGTACGGGAGGGTTTGCCAGGCGATTGTTTTTGGAGCCCAGGCGGCCGTCGCATCGGAGATATCTATCAATATAAATCGTTAGTTTCCAATGCATTGACATACAGTCATGCATGTACCCACTTTAGGAAAATAGGTTGAAGACGTATATCGGCGAGGGCGTGGTTTGTGCCCAGGGTGAGCACAGATAATTAACAACCAAAAATCCGTTCAGTGTATTTTTTGACTGCGGCCCTCTCCTAACCCTGATTCCTCTGACATTCTTCCTAATGAGGTATCCTCTTTCAGGTATCTCGGCGTTATTTTGTCCTCAAATCTTTCTTTTTCCCTCCATATTGAGTCCCTATTTATTAAAGTTCGTAAACTCCTTTACTACATTCGTCGTTTGCGTTCCTACTACACACCTCAACCCTTAGTCTGGCGATTCATTGATGCCTGCATTCTTCCTCTTATCCTATACTGTTCTCCTGTCGTTTTTCCTGCTTTGTTAAAAAAGGATCTTTTAATTTTGAAACGAATCCTCCGCATGCTCTCTTCTGCTGCTGGCGTTTCTTATATTTTTTTAGTTGACACAATCTTACAACGACACTTCAATGCGGTCAAGCAATTTGCTGGTCGAATTCTAGATGACGTTGCCCATCCCCTACATTCCGATTTTATGGCTGTCAAGTCTTCCCGCCCGATGCGCCGCAACTTCCGTCTTATACCCTGTCGCACATCGGCTTATCGAGCCTCTGTATTACCATTCCTAGCGCGCTATCTTACGTGCGAAGAGACAGAAATACAGAAGCTCAGACTTGAACTATCCCCATAATAATCGTTTCTTTGACTGTTGAATAATCTCTTAACTTATTTACTACCCACAGTGAATGGAGCCAATTTTTTGCTGAAAATTTTGAACTTACGATTTCAAAATAAAGCGCATTTCCTCCTCCTCCTCCTCCGGAGCCTGTCTGACAAGAATGGTGACAATAGGCTTTATACGGTGGGACCTTCGGACGCGCCTAAAAATACTATGCTCGATATGTTTTTTCATCGGAAATGTGCTTTTTAGCTTGGATCTGAAGGCCGTAGACTGAACTTCGTTTATGAGAGACAGGGTGATTACTCTCGTAATGTACGATGACTACTGAATATGCCTCTTTACAGTAAACTGATGTGTAAGGTGAAAATGACGCTTTTCATCTTTCATCCTTCTATTTCATTCTGCTTGGATTTAACAACTGGAGTTGTAGAGGTGAGCTAGGATGCTAAGGCGCGGTGATGTTGTCTTCGAAGCCGCAGTGTGAAAAAACCATAGAACTACAGTTTGTGACCGATCTGATTAATGGTCACGAACTGTGAACTTAAATCGCTCTAGCGCACGAAACGCCCACCCCACATCCACCAAAGTCATGCTGCGATAAAGATATGACCGACCTTCAAAATACGGCACAGTTTAATTTATAAAATATTGTTTATTGACTATGAAATAACTTATTTTACGAAAAACTACCAAATCAAAAAACTACTCTATGACAGGTCAATTATTCAAAACCTAAATAACTGCCAT